CCCGCACTGTGGCCCGAGCAGAAAGCTTGATGGTGGTAGCTGGGCGCCATCTCGGTGTCTGGTCTCAGGGTAGATAAGGCTCTGGCTCTGTAGACTAGTTTTCTTCTCCGAGTCTTGGGTTTCTCATGCCTCCTCTTTTCTTCCACATGAGTAGAGACCAATAGTTGTATCGTAGATAGCCTCTCCTGGACTTTTAAGAGCCCAAAGGCTACTCATCAAGCTGGGATGTAGAACGTAAACTTTACTGGCTTTGTTGTGCCCATTTGCGGACTTATCCCATGAGACTATGGTCCTAAACCCTCAAACTCAGAAAACCAGTCCCGTAAGGGATTTGGTGATATACAAGAAGTATTTGTAACTGTACCGTGTGTGTGCGCACGCGCTCGCGCGCGTGCGTGTGTATGTGTGTGTGTGTGTGTACAGTGTCGTAGCATTGCCAGAAGGTCCTTGTGTCCATCTCAGCGTTATTGTTTACTTGTGCACACTTCACCCATCTTGGACGTTACTTGTGCTTTGCTGTTTGGCTAAGTGATGAGCAGTGATGGAGAAGCTGTTAGAGCCGAGCAAGGGCACTGAAGCCACGACCTTGGGATTGGCCTTGGTGCTGCTGTGTGAGCGTGGGTACCCGTGTCCTCCGTACAGTTATGAGGGGTAGGGGGAGATTAATACCTCCCTCGTACGGGAACGTCTGTGGATGATGATGGCAGTCCTGGCACATGGTGTATATACATTTTGTCCTTGGACATTTTTCTTGCAAATTTTTCCAATGCCTTGATCGTATTCTCTCCAACGCCAGCTTGATCTTAACCTAAAACAACTAGGTGAATGACCTGGGTCTGTTGTTGTCTGTGGCTGTCACGTTAGCTTTGACTCATGACCACTTAGTGTCCGACAGAACAGACCCTTGCGTGATCCTGCACCATCTCCGTGATTGGTAGTTTGTTTGACTTCATCGTTTTGGCTCTTGTGTCTGTCCACGTGGCTGAGAGCTTTCACTGACCCTCCTCCTACCCAACGGTGAGCTCTTGCTCTAGGGATCGGTCTTCCCTGATGATGTGTCTGTCCAAAGGAAGCGAGCCCAGGTCCCCTCCCCTGTAGGGCGTGCTCCCATCCCTCCTTCCCCCTTACAGGGCTCTCCCTTTCAGATGGCATGCTGACCCCTTCTCTGTGTCCCGAAGGTGAGCGACTTCACGTGGAGCCACGATGGGACGCAGGCGCTCATTTCCTATCGAGACGGATTTGTCCTGGTTGGTTCTGTCAGTGGACAAAGGCACTGGTCATCCGAGATCAACTTGGAGAGCCAGATCACGTGTGGCATATGGACTCCTGATGACCAACAGGTAACACCTCTCCCAGTGGGTGGGCAACACCAAACACGCGCTGAGGCACAGGGAAGCGGTCGAGCACAGGGTCAAGGCTCCTCAACAATCACACAGACCAGGGACAGTAGGTAAAGGTGAAAATTGTAGCAGAGTCTGAAAGGAACCCCAGATTGGAGAAATCAGGCTTCCTGTCAGTATGTTGAACATGGATTTAGCAATTTAGTTAAATACAATGCTCCGGCACATTTATTCTATAAAATCTACGCAAAGCACCTACAGAAAAAGGGGCCCTGGGCATGCGTATGTCAGTCATTCTCAACAAGACAACGCCCAACTAGTAATCAGACGGTAAGAAAGCAGCCCAGCCTAAAATTGCCAAGTTTTAGACTAATGAGAGTGTGTTTTCACTTATTAGCAAGAAATTCTAATAAGAGATACAGATGACTTTAGCTGAATCTGATCCAATAAGTACTTCGCTCACTGCTGGTAGCGTTTCGTGGTGGACTTGGGGGAAACAGGTAGCAGCCCATGCTGTTGACTGCTTTAAGGAGGCCTGGGTAAGCATTTAAGGAGCAGTGGTTTAAGTGCTCGCCTGCTAATCACAAGGTCAGTGGTTTGAACCCAGCAGCCCCTGTGAAAGAAAGATGAGTCAGTCTGCTTCTCCATTAAAGGTTGTAGCCTTGCAGGCCCAACGGGTCAACTCTCACTCGGCCCTCGGCCCTGTAGGGTCATTATGGCTTAAAATTCACGTGAAGGAAGTGGGGTTTTTTTTCTCCCCTGTAAATTATGTTTTGTTGTCATCGAGAATTTATGTGGGTGCCCAGGTGGTGAAGTGGTTACGTGTTGGGCTGCAAGGTCAACTGTTTGAAACCACCAGCCGCACCCAGGAGAAAGACAAGGCTGTCTACTCCCATAAAGAGTGCAGTCTCCGTGACTCACAGGGTGCAGAGTTCTCCCTGTCCGTGGGGTCCCCGGGGGTTGGAATCGACTTGGTGGCAGTGCGTTTGGTGTTTTGGTTGAGCGTGTCCACATCAACATGTGTGCCAATCCAGCAGGTGCTCCATCCAGTGACACTGATGACTGCCTGTGGCTCAAGCGGCCATTCTCGCCCCCACCCGCCTATGGACACTTCCTCCCTCATGAGCATGACCTCACTGCCCCACCCCACCCCAAGTGTTCTGTCTCATCGCTGCAGTAGTTGTCAGTGTGAGCCCATAGCCTCAGCTCTCAGAGGAGTGGCACGCACACAGCAGGCCTTTCTGGCTAGAGAAGGTAAACCGGGACCGCGGAGTTTGAAGGAGACTATAGGAGACGGAGATAGTTCGGGTTCAGAGTTTCAAGCTGACCTCAGGGACTTCATCCAGCCTCCATGGCTCCAGGAAGTCCAAAGTCCGTCAGGATTTGAAATTCTGTTTTTCCATCGGGATTCGCGTGTGGAATCTTGGTCAAGATGTTCAGTTAATGATGGCTGGGCACCTTTCTGTTCTTCTGGCCTCAGGGCAAAGGAGACATTTGCCACACGCTCCCCACGCTCCCCTGTCTCCCCCTGCCCCTGCAGGGGACTAGAGGCCCGTGGTTGGGCTCTATTGGCTCAGAGGTAGAATGAATTAGGAGGCAGAGTGGAAGCACTGCACACGTCATTGGGCCAATTAACTGATGTCCCACGTGCCATGACCAGAAACCTCCAAACCAAGAACCAAGTCCCGTGCGAGTTGGTTTGTACGTTGGCAGCCCCAGAAGCTGCTCTCCTTGTAAATCAAGCTGCCACCCAACACACGCCTTGACAGGCAGGCAACTTCCTCTGAGCAGGGACAGTTGTCCCAGCCCCGTCAGCCCCTCTGTCCCCGCCTGCCTCATCCCTGGGGACCACTCATCAACCTGGGTCTGCACACACTTGCCCTTTCTTGTCTCTTTTGTAAAAGCGAGCTCATGTTATTTGTCATTTTTGTCATTACTGTATGAGTCCGCAGCTCCTAGCCTGTCACACGTCGACATTCCTGCCCGGTGCTCAGGGACACTTTGTTTTTGGTAGTACTATTTGAAAGTAAGTTGTAGGCACCGTGGACAGCACCCCTAAGGTTTCCACAGGCATCTTCCAAGTCTTATGAAGCTTCACGGTTGGTGGAAACTTTGAAGGAAAGGATCTTGGAATTTTTCCATGAACTTTTGTAGCCTGCTCAGAGACGGCCATTCTGCTACATGATGACCTCTAAGACCGTCACACTGCTGCCCAGCTTCCAGTCATCACCCTTTGTCCCTCGTTGTTATAGGACTGTTTCATGGGTCTCTCTCTCTCTCTCTCTCTCTCTCTCTCTCTCTCTCTCTCTCTCTCTCGCGCGCGCGCGCACAATCTTGTGTTCACGTATCGCAGTTGGCGTGTGTCCTCAGTCCTTTAGTCTAAGTCAGCTTCCTCTCTTCGATGTGTATTCTCTAACACAGTCTACTCTCTAAAGAACTTCAGCAGGTTCTCTTGTAGGTGCCCCAGATTCTGGATCTGCTGGTAGACTCACGGCACCGGCTTGCTTCCTCTGCCCACTTCCTGAGCAGGTTGGCTCTGGCTCATGATGCGTGTTGTATTAAGCAGTTTCAGCAAGAATACTTTATCGTTGACATCGTCTTCTCAGTGAACCGCACAACGAGGCCTGATGATGTCGGGTAATCCCGCTAACAGGTTGCTGAGTTTGATGGAAACTTTGTAACAGCACACGGTTATTACTCACAGCATGTTTCTTAATTTCATCCACACTTACAGTTAATTGTTTCCAAGTGATGTTTTCGTGAACCACTACTAAGACGCGGCCTCCGTTGACAGCGAGAAGGGAAGGGCCCTTCCCTGGAGCTTACTTTGCAGGCAGGGGTCCACTTTATAGATACTGTGGAGCCTGAAATGGACAGACTGGTAGCATGGTGATAGGGACTCTGATTGACAAACTTGGGCGGTATGTTTATAAATAGAATCAAATGTACAATTGAACGGCAAAAATGGAGCGTGTCACGGAATTCAAGTAAGGGTGGCCGGATGATAACTGTGGCCCCCGCACCCAGTATGAATGAGAGATGCCGAGTCTGTGCCTCATTTTCCGGGATCAGGAAGAAGGCAGTGCCACCTGATATGTTCGAGAGCTAGGAAGCATTGTTCTGCATTGAACTGTGTCCCCTACCCTCAAAGAGAAATAGATGTGGAGATTCTAGACCCTCTCCCTGTGGATATGACCCTGTGGACATGGGTTATATTTCTGTTATTCCTGTTAGATCATACCCCGTGGGGTGGGTTCTAAACTTCATCACTTCTGGGCTATGAAAAAAAAGAGTAGACTCAACCCAGACACACGGACAGACAGACTTCATGTGAGGACTGTTTATAAGCCACACAATGCCGGCTACCTGCCAGGAAGTGATTAACTACTAACACTCCAATTCATGGGCTTGCATCTTCTAGCACCATGAGAAATGAATTTCTGTTCTTTAAAGCTATTTACCGAGGGTGGGGTGGAAAGGGGGTAATCAATTACAGGCATCTACATATAACCTTCTCCCTGGGGGACAGACTACAGAAAAGTGGGTGAAGGGAACACATTGGACAGGGCAAGATATGACAAAATAATAATTTATAAATTATCAAGGGTTCATGGGAGGGGGACGACAGGGAGGGAGGAGGCAAATTGAGAAGCTGATGCCAGGGGCATACGTGGAGAGCAAATGTTTTGAGAATGATGAGGGCAACGAATGTACAAATGTGCTTTACACAATTGATGTATATATGGATTGTAATAACAGTTGTATGAGCCCCCAATAAAATGATTTAAAAATATAGAAGAAAAAAAGCTACTTACCAGTGGGAGGAGCACTGGGCAACTTAAGACAGACATCTAAAGGTAGACTGCCAGCACGCTCTGAGCCTGGGTATCAGTTCATTGTGAAAGCCTTTCAGCTAAAGCAGGTGGTTGGGCCCTGGAGAAGGGCTCTCCATTAATCCAGTGGGAGCCTGGAGCCAGGAATGGGAGGCAAAACTCATCACCTCCACGGGCAGCTCACTGCTGTGCCCTGAGACCAGAGCTGGATAATGCCAGGCTACCTGAACTGAACATATTGTCCAAAGATGACCCTCATAGAGAACCCTGATCAAAAGGGGGGAAAGAACAGAGTAGAATTTTCCATTCTCGTGGAATCCAGACATTCTGGAGGCATTGAGGCTGGATAATTCCTGGAACTCTTGTCTTAAAGCAAATTATCCCCTAGAGCCTCCTTTCAACCAAATAGTAGTTTACCTTCAGCCGCCTGCTGCTTTATGTGACCACCTCCCTGGGAAGAACTGGAGAACACCCACTGGAGAGGTAGCATGTAAGTTAAGTTGGCAGAGAGTTCTGTTAATGGGGAAGACCAGCACACGAGGGAGGGAGGGAGGGAGGGAGGAGGTCCACAGCACCCAAATGGGTGACGCCGAGTTGCATGCGTAGATAGTGTTCAGTTGGCATGTGCTTGGCTGAATAAACATTTCCAACAGCCAACCTAAAATAAGGGGAGTTTTTAAAAGAACGGTAGCGGTCCCCCGCAGCATCCCGTCCGTGTTGAGACTTTTGCAGGGCTCTCTGTCTGGCTAGGACAGGGACCACCAAGGGCAAGACAGCAGACAAAGGTTTCAGTTCAACTTTGAGCAATTCCATTAGATGAGGGCTGCCCTCTGAGCAAGGGCACACTGAAACCTGTATGGGAAGGGGGGGACCCCCTCTCTCCACCATTTCCTTTCTGGGGGCCCCCTCTGCAGTTGAGAGAAGTGGTGTCTGTGTCCCTACCCTTCTTCCTTGCCCCCCACTAACATTGCTCCTGCCACATGTCCTACTTGCAGCTCAGCAGACTGAACTTGTTTGTTGTTTAATTTATGGAGAGCCAGCTACCTGCTCTGGGTTGATACTCTGAAATCCTCCTGTGTCTCCAGTTTGCCTGGGACAAGTATTCCTGATGACTCTCTTGGAATCACACCCAGGAAGTTTATGGCCACATGGAGAAAGTTTAAAGGCTCATTTCCCTTAATGAGGACACCGAGTGTTTTAAAAAAAAAAAAAAGATAAATGCTTGGTCCTCTTAGACTTCGGCAGCGCCGGTGGTTAACTGGCCCGGGGAGTTTTTCCCGGGACGCAGGAGGCAAGCTGTGGTTCGGCTCTGTAGCTGTGCTCGGACACCATCAAACTCCTTATGTGTGTTGGGAGCCTTACACCCCTTTAGAGCAGGGAGAACACGGCGGGGCTGGGGGAAACAGAGCTCTCTCCCAAGTATTGATCAGCATCATCTTAACGGTGAAACGATGTCTCCAGTAGATTGTGCTCAGTCCTTAAACAGAATGAGGAATCAACAGTCTCCTTTGGACGGTCTTGTCAGTATTTGATAGCATGAGTTTATCCTGGCTGGGCGGGGCGGGGCCAGGGGGAAGGAAGAGTTTTCACGTCCTTGGATTAGTTAGATGTGCCTTCTTGAAAAGTGTTAACCCAAACCAAACTTAGTACCATGGAGTGATTCCAACCCACAGGAACTGCCCCATGGGGTTCCCATGGCTGTCGCCCTCACTGGAGCAGGCTGCCACCTCTGTGACCCGAGGGGTGGCCGGTGGGCTAGAACTGCCGCCCTGCGGTCAGCTGGCCAACTTGAAACCCACCACTCCACCACAGGGTTAGGATACTAGAGGTGTGACTTCACTGTCAGCTCTGGGCAGGCGAAGGCTTTCGCTTCCTGCTCCCCCTAGTGGAGGGCCTTGCCTCGTTCAGCTTCCGGAGCGTTCGTGGCGGCGCCTCTCTGAGCCCCTCGGCCTTGTTGCTTCTGCGTCTCAGAGGGGCTGGTGTAGGACACCCCCTGCCCGGCCCCAGTCTCCTCCACACGAAGAAAGGCGGGACACGCAGCCCGTCCATGTCTGAAGAAAGGCGGGACACGCAGCCCGTCCATGTGCGTGCGGGCTGGGGGACACCGCTGGATCTGGGTTGCAGGTGCTGTTCGGCACGGCTGACGGGCAGGTGATCGTCATGGACTGCCACGGGCGCATGCTGGCGCACGTGCTCCTGCACGAGGCGGACGGCATCCTGGGCATGTCCTGGAACTGCCCCATCTTCCTGGTGGAGGACAGCAGCGAGAGCGACACGGACTCCGACGACTACTCCCCTCCCCAAGGTGCCCACCCCGCCTGGGCGCGCCCCCCAGAGGGCAGGGGGCGGTGGTGGAGCCCGCTGTGGGCAGGTGTGCTAGTCCAGGTAGACCAGAGAAACAAATCCAGAGAGCCTCGTGTGTATGAGAAAGAGCTTCATATACAGGAGCAATTGGAGATGGAGAAAACACCCAGCCCAGTCCAGCCCAAGTCCAGATGTCCGATATCAGCCCATATGTCTGATCCCAATGTGTAAAGGCCTCTTCAGACTCACAGCACACATGCAAGGAAGATCACAGACCGGTGGGTGGGAAGTCTTGTGGATCCAGTGGCAGGGTGAGCATCTCAGCGCTGGCAGGGGTCTCCACGTGGCTCCTTCGGCTCCAGAGCTCCACCCCTCCCCTCTTAAGTCTCAAATGGACATTATGCAACTACCACAGCAGGTCTGCTGGGGGTGGGTGGTGGGTAGGGGCACGCCAGGAGGGCCCCCGGGGAGCTGCCTGAGGAAAGGAGAGGCCTTAGGAAGTGGGACGGGATGGGGGGGGTGGGGTTGGGTCCCATGCTCCTGCCTTCTCTGACCAGCACCTCGTCTGCAGATGGCCCCGCGGCGTACCCCATCCCAGTGCAGAGCTTCAAGCCTCTGCTCACCGTCAGCTTCACCTCCGGAGACATCAGCCTGATGAGCAACTATGACGACTTGTCCCCAACCATCATCCGCTCGGGGCTGAAAGGTACACAACACAGCACCCATGGGTCAGCCGCACACACCCACCTCCTGGCCGGGGTGTCACACCCCAGTGCTGCAGTGACCCCCATCCTGCTCAGTGCAGCCTGGTTCATAAAGGTCCCCTCCCCTCAGCTTCCTTTGCTTATCTGGCAAGCCGGCCCCCGTCTTAGCTCAAGAAGGCTTCCTGACATTCCCTCTATCCCTCACTGGCAGACTGGCTAGCCACCCGGGTGCCCAGGTGTGTGTGCACAGGGGGCCTCTACGCAGAGACACCTGTCATTCTGAGGGTCTGGCAGCCTGATCCTTGTGTGGGAGCATCCCCTGGGAACAGCCAGGGGCGGGGGTGCCCCACAGTTGCGTCCTGAAGCAGTGGTGTGAAGGCCGATGTCACAGGCGGACACCATCCTAACAGGGAGGCGGTGAGGCGATGTCCCAGGACACCGGGTCCATCTGTTCAGATCAAGGGACAGAAAGGGTGGACAGTTAGCCATCCCATCCCAGGCTTGCTGAACCTTCAGAACACCGTGCTTCCGTCGATCCAAATGGCCGCTGGCCTGGGGTGCCCCTGCGTCAAGCCTGGGGTCCTCGGGAAGTTTGAGGGTGACAGAATCAGGATCCGGCATGGCCTGCTGCTTGCCAGGGATGTGTTCTACCTGCCTCTACCCCCAGCAAGGACTCCCCCACTGCTAGTGAGCCCCTTCCAGCTGCAAGACAGAGGAGGGCTGCCCGCTGTTGGAAACGTGTAATTCTAAGGAGGTTTTCACGCTGTAAGCCCCTAAAGGGCATGTACTACGAAGAAGTCCTTTTGGCGGCCCTGGAAGAGTGGGGTGCTTTTTGTTAGGAAGAGGATGAGGGCTTGGGTGGTCGTCTTTTCCTTATTTCCTGCCCGTTCCGTTGTTCACGGAGCGGAAATGGGAATAGGAGTGGGGGTGTCACCAAAGTCCACCCACACAGTCAGTGGCCCGGGCTCTGCACTCCTCCTTCAGCTGCTCTGGCATCAGAACGTATCGCCACGGTTACTCACTTTTGGGGACCTGCTCTCGAGTTGGCTCTGACTCACAGCAGCCATGCAGGGCAGCGTGGAGCTGCCGTAGGACTTCTACGACAATAGACCTTGTGGAGCAGCCAGCCTCATGTCTCTCCCACTGAACAGCTGCTGCGCCTGAACCTCCTACCCTGCGCCCTTGGGCTGTCAGGGCCCCTTGACTTCAAATGCAGCCCCCAAAATGTCAGTAGGTGGGGAGGAACATGGATTCCTCCTGGAAGGTTTTAAAAAATTGGACTTGGTTTTTAACCTAAAAATGTGGACAGATAAGGCCTGGTGGCTCAGGGGCACCCTGGCAGCAGGGTAACTGCTGGTGTATCGGGCTGCTAACGGGAAAGCCGGCAGTTGTCCTTGGGAGAAAGACAAGGCTCTCTGTGCCCGTAAACGGTTACAGGCCTGGAAACCCACAGGACAGTTCTCTAGGGTCAGCTCTCTGCGCATCGGGATCAACTTGCTCACAGTGAGTTTGGTTTTGAGTTTGGTGCTCCGTGCGATGATTTACGTGCTCAGCTGCTCCCCAAAACTTTGGCGGTTCAAACCGACCATCCACTCTGAGGAAGGAAAGCCCCGGTGATCTGCTCCCATTGAGACGTCGGCCTAGGAAGTCCCTATGGGACAGGGTCTCACTGAGTCTGCTGGAACGGACTCCTGGGCACCCAGCAACCACACTGACCTAGAGGTTGGCGGGTCAAACCCACCCAGTGGACCCGAGGAGGTGAGGCCTGGGCTGTCTGCTTCCACTCAGACAGTAGCCGAGGAAGCCCTGTGGAGCAGGCCTGCTCTGACACACAGCCGTCGGGAGTCGGAGGTGACACACCAAAGCCGGGCGGTACCTCTCTGCATCGGAGAACACCTGCGGGAGGAGCTGGTTCTGATTCGTTAGTGGGATGGCGTGGAAGGGCGCTGTGCCGGCCTGTGATGCCTCAGGGGCCTTTTCTGCCTGTTGTCAGACCGTCTCAAGAACCACTGGGTTTTGTTTTTCTTTTAAATGTGCCCTCTTATGAGTGGTGTCAGGCCATCCCGGGGACGTCATAAGATGCACGTTGAGCTGCTCACCCCAAGACCAGGGGCAGACTGAACCCCCAGCCGCTACCCAGGGGGAAAGTCTGCTCCTGGGGACATTTCCAGTCTAAGAGGCTGGACGGCAGTGAGTCTGGTTTCGGGACCAGTGAGCTCAGTAACTGCTGGGACGAGATAGCCACACTGCCACCAACCTGGCCCGGGACAGCATTCCAGCACAGGGAAGAGGGAGGGCGACGCCATGTCCCATGGAGCGTGGGTCTCTGGTCCCCAAAGCCTTCCCCTGTGAACCGTGTCGAAGAAATAGCCATCCAGGGACTTTCCAGCAAGGGAGGGTCACGGGGCATGCTGCACTTTCCCCCCAACACTGTACTCTGCATGGTGAGGAAAGGGGCTTTGTTTCTCCAGAAAGCTCGGTGTCCCTGCAGCCAGCTCACGGCCGCGTCCTTCACACTCCCTCCTGTCGGGCCCTCGGGTGCGCGAGGCGGGGAGCATTGAGTTCGCTTTGCAGTTGCTTGCTAAGCAGGCTCAGCCTCGCCGCAGAAAGAAAAGCCTGCCACGCCACCCAGCCTCGGGGACCGGGGCTCCCACACGCTTCACCTCACTTGGTGTCTCTCCCTTCTTTCCCGAGGAAAACTCGGGTGGCTGAGAGCAAAGCCCCCCC